AGTCACCATCGGCTCTCTCTGCACTACCGGGAGTTACTAAAGTAGTCGCTTGCGTGATTTTTGCGCGCCCTCTGTCGTAGTTTTTCGCTATTCTACTTACGACTGGTTCGACTCTGCACTACCATGTGCACTACCACGGGTTAATAGAGTAGCTACTTACCTACGAGTCGGTGCAGTAGCGGTTCAAAAGTAGCGATTGACTCCAGCAGTACTGGAGGGTACACAATTTTGCGTCACCACGCGCCGTCGCGTAAAATTTTAAATATTTTTACATAACTACTTCGTACCACATGTTCGCTTCGTCTTCGTAAGCGAAATACACATTTCGGATATGGTGAAACCACTGATGATAATGCAGAAATTTTAACTGAAGATAAAACTCAAAACAATATTCTCTGTGTTATATGCTGCGAACAAGCCTTTAAAATTTGACTATAAGGCAGCCGAATGGCAGAAAATAAATCGAGAAAGCTGTTTTATTATTTCACCTATTTATTTCGCCATGGTTCCATGCAAACATTTTAAGGTTTCCCAGCAATGTTTTCAACATATTGAAAAGTATGCAGATAAAATTCATACAAAAGCGCTATGCCCAATTTGTTGAGCAGTTATTAAAGACGACTCTTTTCCTATATTTTGTTAGACTTTTCATAAGTTAGAATATTTTGTGAATATTACTTTCTTCATAGAATTCATCCCATCACATGTTTTGTTTAATTGTATTTTTGGAATAAACAAAGTTATTTTTCCTTCTGTCAGTAAACTGTTTTTGTTACAAATAGTATAAGCAATGGGAAATAAGGCAAAATTTGTTTTATTTACAACCTTTGTTGGAAATAAAGCAAAACTCAGATTTTCGAATTATTTCCTATTTAAAAGTGAAATAAAGCAAATTTTGCGTTATTTCCGATTGTGTTATTTCACCCCCCCATGACCAACTAGTCAGCCAACAATTTTTTTCCATGCAATCAACTGGTATTTTTAACATGCGGATGTCCTACGAGATGGCAATTGCCAGATTTCGGTCAGAAATATATACCAGTCTCATACTAGTTAAAAATAGATAGAAAAATCTCATATATGAATCAATGCGTTATATCTCTGGCACCTGTCTTGATCATGTTTTTTGGTGCTTTAGTTGTAATACATCCAGTCGAAATCTCAGACCATACGATGACCGGTTTAAAGATAAGTAAAGTTTGTCAGAACCGTAATACAAGAAGAATGGCTACTTCCAGCATAACTAAAACTTATTTTGCTTTTCTGAACGCAAGGCTGAGATTCGAGTCATGGGACAAGGTTTATGATGAGAACAACATATCCAAAGCATATAGCGTCTTTTTAGATATTCTAAAACAACATATAAAGGCTGCAAGCTATTTGTTTATCCCACGTAAATCTGAAATAAAATTAAAACCATGGATTAATAAGTGCAGTAACTTGCGGCCAATAATAAACTTCGTAGTCTTTATTGCGATTCAGGTAGGAAAATAAAAAAAAGGAGGCCGTTTGCAACGTGATAACTTTTATCGCAATAAGTTTACGTCCTCACAGAGTAACTCTAAAAAAGAATGAGATCTTATTTTGAATAGAAATTCTAAAACAAATGACACGACCATTGTTTTGAGTGACAATTAAGACACTTCCTGTAGTCAAATGTACTAGTTTGTAAACTACCTCACAACTAATATGAACCACATGCCCAACTAGTAAGCCAACTATCTTTTTTCCATGCAATCAACTAGTATTTTTAACATGGGGGTGTTCTACGAGATGGCAATTGTCAGATATACCAGTCTCATACTAGTTCAAAATAGGCAGAAAAATGCTAGTCCAATTATGGACCAAAACCACTACTTTGGGAGTCAAAAAATGAAATGAATTCATGAATATACAATAAAAAACTTTTGATTAAGTGCACTTTAATATATTACACATTTTTATTTAGCAGCATTAGATTTGCCAATATATAGTGTTAAATTTTTTGAGTATTAAAAGCAAAAATAAACACATAAATATTCCAAACTTTCGAACATAAATTTAAATGCATTTTTCATGAAATGTTATTAAAAGTAAAAGGTTTCAGGTACAATAAATACTATATTTTTATCTCTTTTAATAATATTGAATACGCAAAAGAAAACATTTTAGTTAAAAATAAAATGAATACTTTAGTTCATTTTTGAGTGAACTGAAATAGAAATAAAAGTGATCATAAAAATAAATTAAATTCATTAACTTTGCACATTTCAGTACATTCGTTTTAAAAATTTATAAAGGTAATAATTAATGTTTAAAATTTGAGATTTTGATAAGAATAAAATAAATAAATAATTCAAGCAGTTATTAAATATTCTTAATTTTTATCCATTGTTCGGCTTGTTGATTGATAATAGAAATTAACAAATAATTATATTAATCGTGTAATTAAAAAAAGTCAAAAATAATTGAAAATTATCAAAAATAACTAATTAATGATCTAATTAAAATTAATGATTTAATTAACACTTTTTTTAAGTAATTAATTATTAATCATAAAAAGGGTGGTAATATCGATATTTAATCATTAAACGGTTATCCAAAAAACATGCTTTAATAAATAATCATTATGAATATTAATCATTATTTAACAGGTCTGGTATAATTGAATACGTACTCGATTTAATGGTTTACAATATACCCAAATAAAAGTTATAATATTTTGTGTACTTTATTGTATTAAACTGTCGAAGTAAAATAAAACAGGGGATGAATAAATAGTTTTGTACTTGGTACAAGTCTGGTCATTTTCCAACTAGTTCGGTTTCAGTCAGGAAATTCTGGTTGTAAACTGGTATTTTTCCAGACTAGTATGGGGTTTCACTGCAGGGCACGTATACATACACGTACACATACATGCGTTTATAAACGCTGCAGGGAAGCTACCAGTTGTGAATTAGAATAATATCAGTTTGCCTTTCAGCCCAACTAGTTCACGTTCCATCCTTGTTAGCGACTGCTATTTTTAACAAGGCGATGTCCTACGAGATGTAAATTGTCAGGCTATGCATCGGCATCTACTAGTAGAAATACCAGTAGCATCATACCAGTTTATGAGGTCGTTTGCCAATCATCTCCCGTGAAAAGCATAAGTATGCCATTTTGCTCGCGGCGCTCCAACAGTCGCAATGGCCGACAGAGCAGAGCACTGGCGTGGTATTACTGAGGTCCGCGGTTCAATCCCTGGCGCAGGGAGAAGTTTTTTTATATATTCTTTTCAGACCATAACGATTATAAGAAATAAAATTAAATATTGCTCTATAATTATTACTGAACAATGGAAAAGTTGTTTTCATCTCGCGGGACGATTATGTTGAGATGTAAATTACTTCCGTCCTCTCATAATAATTATATGGGACTTTTACTTTTTTTTCGTCTCGCGGACGTTTATATCAAGACGGAAATAATTTAAGTCTTCTCATAATAATTATGTGGGACTTTTATTTCGTCTCGTCTCGTGAGACATTTATTTTAAGACTGAAATGATTTACATATTTTAATAATAATTTTATGCGGCTTTTATTTTTCTCGTCTCTCGTGACGTTTATTTCAAGATGACAATGATTTACGTCCCACGTTTTCTTTTAATAGAATCGGTGTATGTACAGCCGATTTCACGAAACTAAACGCAAATATCTCCGAGCTCCGAAAAAATATTGTCAAGGTAAAACTTATGTCAAAATATATCGTAGCCAGAACTTTATTTATAGAAACAGAAGTCCTGTGAGTTTAAAAAACGCCCAACATTGCGCGCCATATTTGAATGTATCTCGAAAAAACGCTGTATTTTCTTAAAGGATATTGACTACGCGATAAAAACCTAAGCCCCCTCCCTCACTGTGACCAAGCCTGAAGAAGATATCCCCTTTTCGCAGACCAAATAAAGACATTGGGGCTGATAGGTAACTCCTGTTGGTGCTGTTGAAAACAGCTTTGAAGGCGGAAAATAGATGGTGTCGATCTTTTCCCGCTGGTTGTTTGCAAGATTTGGCGTATTGGGAATGCCTGGTGTATTATGGATTTTCCAGGCCTGGAGCCACACTGATAAGGCACCATCAGTTCGTTGACGGTGGCCTTCAGCCTTTCACACAATACGCTCGACAATACTACGTTCAAATTGACGAGCTAAACTTGTTAAATGGGCTTGAACCAGTTAAATGAGCAAAATTTGTTCATAAACAAGTTAAATCGCATGCAATTGTTGTTGGAAAATTGAACCAGTTAAATCATTAAACTCGTTTGAAAACCAATTCGGCGCAGAGTTGTATCAGAAAGCTTTCTGCTCCGATCAATCAGAAAGACCCAAAAGCTTTCATTTGACACGCCAACGTTCAAAAAAATTATATTCTGAAAAATATTAAAAATTATCAAAAAATATTAAAATTGTATGCATGTCTGCCCGCCAAAAAAGGGGCCAAGGCCGTAATTAGTTATTTCCCAAGAGGTCTCATCGAACGCAGAGAAAAATAGTGCATACGAACTAAACATTTTGAAGTCTCTAAGTTATCCGTTTGCGTTAATATCATGAAGCAGACATTCGCACAAAACAAATTGAAACACAAAAACTTGATTTGGAATATTTTTTTTTTTGAATTTTTATTCGTAATCGAACAACCGTCAAAGTTAACTCCAAATGTTCAATGTGGACGATTGCGTTTTCCAAAAAGCTCTTTTTCATTTAACAAGTTAAATGGGGCCAATTTGAACGTAATATAAGAGCTTATAACCTGTCTTTAGAAGGCTGATTCCGCGGCAGTTGGCGCGAGTGGCAGGGTCGCCCTTATGGATTGGGCAGAGCATAGTTGAATTCCAGTCTTCGGGCTAGCGTTATTCTGCATAAGAGTTGGTGCATGCACATTATCAGCTCCTCGCCGCCGTACTTGAATAGTTTAGCTGGCAAGCTGTCAGCTCCCTCAGCTTTCTAATTTTTCAGCCGCGTAATTGCTATTGTCGGCCGCTGTAGTGTAGTGGTAAGCAGTGCCTGCTTCCACTCCGCAGCACCTGGGTTCAAACCCTGGTGAAAGCAACATCGCAAAAATATAGAAAAAATGTTTTTTCTTAACAGCGGTCGTCCCTCGGCAGGCAATGGCAAACCTCCGATTAGGGATGTGCCGGATAGAAATTTTGCCGGATAACCGGATTCCGGGTACCTAGTAAAAAACAAGAGCCGGATTCGGATATCCGATCGGATATCTGGTAAGCTGCTGCCCTTAGTAAATTTCACAATATTGTTATATTAGTTTCCCCGATTATCGATTAGAAATAGAGGAGAAACGTCAAAGACAAAAGATAAACAACAATGAATGCCGCTAAGCAAAAACGCGCGGTCGGTGTATTTTTATTTTAGATTAGGTTAGGTTACGGTGGTTGCCACTCTTATTTTAAAATGTTATGGATTTTCTAACTATTGTGCGTTCTTACATATCGTCACGCTTTCCGTATTGTAATGTTTCATTTTTGTCGTTTTTTCTGACATCAGTAGATCTAAGAGTAGGGTTGATGGTGAACTAATTCGAAAATATAAATCAGTTAGCATGGAAACCAATTGATGTGTCGGAGGTTTAACGTGAGTACTTGCCGAAGACGACCCACTCTCAAATCTCACGGCGCTCAAACACACACGGATCAAATCAATGTGAAGATCAGCACCCTGACTTGCGAGCGTCTGGGTGTCACTAACTATCTTGGTAGGGTTCGAGACCTATCGTAGCCTCTGCTGAGCTATGGGTCCGGCATCCGGTTGCAATGCAACTTCAAATCGAGCCAACAAATATCAACTCTACTCGCATTTGCGTATTGAGCGACAACCAACACGATACCCTACGTAGGACCGTACCCAATAACCGGCCATAGTAAATTCTGGGGGCTCCTATTCCCCGTGGTACCATAATAAAGTCTCTGGTCCCGGTCAGTGGTGACCATCAACCCACAGATTACTTTGCTCGTTTACGCCTCCTAAATACATCTCGGACAAAGTCCCCGAAATTTGTCGCTGTCCAACCGTTTTACCCCCATGCTGTCCACATTCCTCACGACCGTGTATTCCTGAAATTCACAGAGCACGTGTTCAACATCCTTAAAATCTGCTCCACGCTCATCCCTCAGATCCACGGTGGTTCCTCTTGTGCAAAAATGCATTAACAAGAACGTGCCCTGTTGAGACAAAACCCAAACTCTGACAAAGCCTGAATTCCGGATTCTCTCTCACAAACCCAATACTCGGAATGAATCGCTACGTGATACGACCATTGGGGCTACTGTCCCAAGGATCCTGGCACATACCGGCAAGTCTATCCTGCAGCAACCGTTTGCAAGTCACCGCCCGATATCCACTCCGTAAAATTCGATATTCCCACACCCCTTCTCAATCTGAAGGTCATAACTCCCGCTATGACCACCAGGTCAAGAGGGAGGCTCCACCATAAGCACCTGCAGTGCGTTCGTCGAAACAGTGCGACACACCGGTGGGCAAGCTTGCAACAATGTCCTTTGGCATGGTAGAAACTTCTGGCACCCCACAACAGACATAGCTGGCTCGTACCAAAAAGCGGACCCGAAAGTGGCACAAGCCACGAATAGGCCCCGATAAATAGTACGAACAGCACGTCGGCCGAAGTCCCAGTCACATCTGGGGATGCGACGTACCTGTCAAATAACACCAACCAGACGCTCTTTTAGGCGCACCAAGTTGGAAGCAAAGCTCATATGAAAAAGGCCGAACTCTAGTGAAAGCGAGCTCACCAGGATATTTGGCAATGCTTCGAGGAAATCGCCAACGGCTCTAAAGCTGATCCAGGTTTTGTAGTGATATAAATAGCCAAACGATGGGTAGACAATGGGTAGGCAGCGATTTAGAAAAGGTGAAATATTTACAGCTACCCTTTATAGCTAGAAAAGAAGATCCTTTAATTTGGTGGAAGAATAGTCGCAAACAATTTATAATTTTGTTTACACTGGCAATAAATAATCTCTGCCACCACCTTGCTTAGTGTACTCAAAAGGAGAGTTCCGTGCATCGGGTGGCATTTATGTTGAAAGCAGAAATAGGTTGAATATTTATAACTATAATTACTAATTAAATACTATTAGTTTTGATTATAAAAATGCAAAAAAAAAATCTGAACTCGATTTTTAAATTGAAACTTCTGCAACAGAAATCCGGAAATAAGGCGTGATTTTAGTTAGTATCCGGCCGGATAGGCGGATAACAGAAAAACGGCCGGACAAGCAGGATTCCGGATATCTATCGGATACCTAGCACATTCCTGCTTTAAATACTCCTCTGTGCGGCGACCAAAATCACACTCAAAAGTCTCTCATCAGGCCCCTCGTGATGTATGGCCAAGAAGCGTGTGCGACGACATATGAGGCGGGAGTGTTAGAGAGAAAGATTCTACGGAAAACGCGTGGCACTTTACTTACTTGTGACGGCAAGTACCCGAGGTGATCGAGCTCTCAGCTGTAGGAGTATTAAAACGACATTGGCACAGTTCTGCGATTTATAATACAGGAGCTATGCTGGCCAGGTCATGGCATACGAATGGATGCAAATGCTCCAGCCCTGCCAGTATTCGCTCCAGTACCCACTCGGGGTAGCAGAAGAGAAGGAAGACATTGTTTTCGTTGGAAAGATCATGGGAAGATAGATTTATATTACGCTCTCATTGAGCCACTTACTCGAGTTTAACGTTTTGAGTTTATGAACAACTGTCAAGTGTTCGCATTTGGGGGTGTGTAAGAAACTCAGAGTTTAATATGAAATTTTTTTATTTACTTTTTCTTTTTCTCATTTAGTCTGTTCGCGGACTACAGGATTTAACACACACACATAAGTCTAGAGTATCAACCGTTTAGCTATAAAAAAAACACGAAATGAGAATCGATCGATAGAACTGTTTACGCTGATTTCAACGATATCAAAATATTTGTGGCAAAAAAACACACCAGTAAAAGAGGTTAAAGTTCAACTTTTCTATTTCTTATGTGTTAATATCTCGGAAACTACTTAAAAGATTATGCTCATTTCAACGTAATTTTAATACCTTTTATGCGACGTATTTACGATAACCAGTTATAAAATAAATTGTGTATAAACGCCATTTAAAAAATAAATAAATTTTTTTTAGTATTTCTGGACTAAAAATATAAAGAAGTATACAAGTTATATACATAGATGAAAGACAAATTAATTACCTTTATTTCGACGTCATTCGTTTTTTAATAGGTTATGTTGTTCAGAAGATATTAATATTTAAAAAATCAAAAAATTGAACTTTAACTATTGATATCTTCTTTATATTTTACTTCCGCCAGATAATTTTGGTAGGGTTGATCATCACAAAAAGTTCTATCGAGCCATATTTTTGTCTTTTGCATAGCTAGATTTTTGAAATCAGCACAAGAAGTTGTATCGAGCCATATTATTGATTTTTGCATAGCTAGATTGTTGATATTCTACACTTATGTGCACGGAACGACCTCGGACTATTTCTGATAAAATCCTGCAGTACGGGAACAGACTAACTGTCGGTAATACCATGTTCTTACCGACAACGAGAACACTTTGAAAACGAGTTTTGGGATGGTGGGCTGAAGACTGTTCACACCGGCTGTTAGCGTTTTCGTTGACATTTCTTACATCCTCTGATTACAATTTCGCTACGCCAAAACCAAACCAAAATGATTTTCCCTCATTTTCTTTTCATTAGCAACCTCTTACTTTCATTCTTATATTACTTTGGCCAGCCAATTAACAATAAATCCTAAATGGCGTATTAAATATGAAAAATATGACTTCCACTTCGATAAATAATCGAAAAACTAGTGAAGACACCGATTGGAATGAGTGGAACGTGAGTTTTCAAGTAGTTTTCAGCGAAAACTGGTTTTCGTTTGACAGATTTTACATGGACGAAAACACAAGTTTTAGGTCGAAAACCAGTTTTAGCAACGAAAACATGTTTTCGATGTCGGTCAGAACATGGCATAAGTTGGTTGCAGGTTTTGATTATCAAAGATACAAACCAAATTCGGCCAGAAAAAAGGGTTGCATTCGCATAAACTCCAAATAAAAGTGGTGTTTAAGGAGAGTTTAACGAAATTGTTTGTAAGGTAAACTCCGAGTTTAAGAGTAGAGTTAAGCGTTAAACTCCAAAATGGCCCAAAAACTCGAGCTTGTGGCTCAATGAGAACGCTTTATAATCCGAACTAGGTGTTTCTGATTTGCACCAGCTATCTGAAAGGACTACTTGTGTGCTATAATGTGCTTGAGAAAAAGCAATTAAGCGGTTATACCACCAATCAAGAAGAAGAAGAAGAATATTCTACAATAAATTCCAATACCCAAATCCTTCATATGAGTTATTATCGGAAAAGAGTTGATCTGCTGACACTGGCATATTGGCCAACAACCCAGTCAAAACCCGCGTTATATACGCTTTGTACTACAAAAAGTTTATGTAAGAAATTCAAAAACTTTCCATCATTTAACATAGGGCTCCTGGAGAAATCTAACGCATAATCGTTTTCCATGTGAGCAGTTTTCTCTTTCTTTTACATAGAATTCGCTATTATATTATCCCATTTGTTATTGTTTCTTTTCAATCAAATATTAATATGCGATTAATAACGTGTTATATAACGCAAGGAACGGCATATATGTATCGCTAATAAGTAAATCTGTTGGTTTTTATTGTAAATGTATGGGAGAATACGCTCCCAGCATAAACCAAATTGGGGAACCACTTTTCGAGAGTAACCGCTTACCTTTTAATTTACAGAACGCATTATTTTAACATTTGCATGTCATTGGAGGTAATGCAATGGATAAGCGAAAATTGTCTTGAGGCGACTTGTATTGTGTTAATCCTTTGATACAGAAATAAGTACTTCCCAAAAAGTTTAAAGCTTTTGCTGGGTTAGGTTGGTCTTGCTGGCTAGTGATTCTCACACACACAATCTCACTATTATGCTGACTACAATTTGCCCTGCCGATCGTTTTTACTTTCCGAGCTAGCCTTGCGATCTGTGCACGCGTTGGCAGGCGAAGTCCCTCTCGACGCATATGTGCATTCATAACTAGCTGATTAAATAAAAGATACAAAAGTAAATGAAAGGGTTTCCCAGTAAAATTTCAACAAAAAAATACTAAGTACATAAACATTTAACTCCCATTTACACTTAAATTCCCCGCAGAAGAAGAAATCTAGTCGGTCAACATTTGATTAGATGTGTTAACTTACCTGACCAATTTGATCCATAAGTTTGTATTGGTTTAGTTGTAAAAAGCTCCCTGATTGCTCTATTGAAACACGACGAGATTCTCTTAAAGGAGGTCGACGTCTATTACTTCGAGGACTATAATAGGGATTTGTATACGGAGTATAAGGTGGATTTGAATATATTGAACGCGATTCAAGACACTGGTGTTTCGATGTAATAAAGTGGCTAAGAGAATTAACTGAGCATTCATTTGCATTTGACGTTGATTTCTCCATAGTAGGGTATGATTGACTTAAGCGTTGTCTGAACTACTGCGCTGTTATCACATTTGCATTTAGACGGTTATGAAGTTCACCTGAAAGGAAATCACATTTATCAAAACAAAAATATTACAAATGGTTAAAAGCTAAGTGTAAATATGTACTTGAGGTAGATTTTTGGTGTCGATTCAATTTCCTAAAGTATATACATATGTATACACTATTAACATGTTTATATAAACAAATAAGATGCTTTCACTGGTTGCACTTTAGCGTTGGCACTTTTCTACGATCGTAGTAAACTTATGGGCGTCTGAGCAACACCATATGCAACATAAATAGGCAAACCCGGTCAAATTTTCACATAAACGAAGAGTAACGATTCTAGAGTTAGCCTTAAGCGCTTGGTTGTACTAACATTACAGTGCAGGGCATGTGAAGGAGGGGTGTAATTATAATCCGCATAGAGCGCATAATCTCCCAAAATCAGCTGTTCAGTGTAATCAGTTAGTCAGTTCCAGTACTCCATGATTTAGTTGGGAATATATAACCGAAGAACGCGTATTCCTAGCCTAAATAAAATCGGCATTACAGTTAGTTGCTGCTTTTTGTCATAACTTTTAATGGAATAGCAGCAACTAACTTTATAATCGACTTTATTTGGACTATGAATATGCCCCAATGTATGTATCCGAACAACTTCACAGGAAATTGCGCAGATCTGATGAAGTACTCATGTTACGCGTAGGTGTAACCAGCGCTTTAACCGGATGTCGCTAGCAGAGAGAAATATCCAATGTTTGAGAAGGATACGAAGTTGCGCAAAGAGTTAACAATTCCCAAGCATAGACTTAAAATGCGGCTCAACAGAGGCAAAAATTTAGTTCGCCTTATTGAAATTTTTCTTAGAAATCAAACAATACATTCTCGAAGAAAGTAAATGTTCACTTACTATTGACAAAAGTACTGAGGTAAGCTGTAAAAAGTGTTTAGTTATATTCAAAGGAGCAAGTGGTGAAGGATTTCGGCTGGAGCGGAGCTTTGTTGTGCTGGTTATTCTCACAACTCAAAGAAAAGTTAAGGTTAAGTGCAAAGATATCACAAAACTTACCGTCAATGAAAAGCGGCAAAAATATTTACTGAATTTTATTCAAAAGATTAGTTGCAAAACTGGTTTTTATTAAAATATTTTGATATCTTGTTTGCAGCGGTGCCATGAACTGAAAAATTAAGTAGAAATTTTAAAATCAAAAACTGCTTTAATTTTAACAAAACTGCTTTGCTTTCAGCTCTAAAGCGCTTCTGAAAAAGCTTGCTGTATGAACACTTTCAAACAGAACGTGCTCGTCTACGTTGCATTCCGGACACAGAGGTGAATCAACCAAGCCAAAGCTGTTCAATACTTACGGAAGCAGCTGTGGCCAGTTAAAAACTGCGTTAAGTGGAAGTATAAGTCCCAATGCTTTCTGTTCACCCATTTTCCAATACTAGGGATGAGGGTTTATGTCCACCTTCTATCTGTTGAGTTTTCCCAATGCACCTACCATTCTCTCATCGATTCACCCTTTTCCTGTGCGGTAATTGCCAGAACATCAGCATCGCCTTACTTCCTTCTGTGGTAAACTCTCGCTCTTTCTACGGTTGATAAGTCGATAGGGTCATACCAGCAATTAACATTGCTGCATCGTCCGACTTCATCTTATACGCACTCTGAGAGCACTGAGTCTGTATACAGCCTAGTACGGTTTTTTGTAGACCTTCACTTCCAAAGATTTTGCAAAGATTGGGGCCGCACATAGTAATACCGTTTCCAGTAGTGCGCGTTTACCGCCCCTAGGGCCGCCGACGTTAGGCAGCATTCTTGATAGCACTCCGTATACCTTTCATGCTTTTTGGGTCATGTTTTCTGCGTGTTGACCAGAGCTGAGCTTTTCGTCTATTATCACCCCCAGGTATTTTAGCTGGCGTGAGGATTGGGTTGCGGTATCAGGTTTTTTTGCTGCTACTTATGACGATCGCCTCCGTTTTTTCAGCTGCGATAGATAAACATACGCTTTCCAGATATTTTATCACCGCTTTGATCGCGGTGTTTGCCTTCTTTGACCCCTTGAATTTGCCTAGCTGCTACTAGTAACGCGATGTCATCCGCAAACCCAACAATGTCTGCTCCGTCCGGAAACGGTAGTCGCAGCACGCAGTGTTTCTACTGTATGGAGTCAGGCGGAAAAAAGTCATGGTGACATGGGCCTAGAGAAGAAAAGCAAAAGTCATAAATACAGAAAGATCATTTACTCACCCCCCTCTCCACGAACGGTGCATTTCCAAAAAAAAAACTGGAATCGGTGCGATACTGACTCATAAATTTAGTTGCCTTTGGCGCAGCCCATTAAAGAAAGTGTTTCTTTTTCACCTGTATTCAATTCTTTAAGTGTCGCGGCATATTTATTTATTTATTTTATATATTTAAATAAATAAAATAAATAAATAAATCGGACCATAAATGAAGTTTTTCGGAACAACTCCACTCCTACCCCACCTACTGAAAAAACAAACAAAATGCGCACCTCCCCTTTGAAATACCTTTCGAACAAAAGAAGAATCATTCAAATTGGTTGAGAAACATAGGAGCAGTAGGGAGGAATAAATTTGTATGGGATTTCGTTAGCGTATTAATATATAGATAGTAGATGGTGAAACCAAAGCAGGCATTCATAGGCTTATATGCAAATTGAAATAAATCGGCTCAGGAGCCACCTATCGGGTCCATTTTGACGTAGAATACGTCTTACCTTAT